TGATCATGCTCATGCCATGGAAAATCGTTCCTTTGGAATCCCTGGTAACGAGCACGCCATGGAAAATCGCATGCTCCCACTCTACCAAATAGCCGGCCGATGCAGATTCCGTCAGAAAGCTCTCATCAGTGTGCACTCTCAGAGGGTCCTTTTCGAACTTCTTGACTGGGCGCTGGGCCCCCCCTGGCGGCGCCTCCTGCGCCACGCCACCCATGGCACACGTTCCGCGCGCCAGGGAAGGGGTCCAGCGCCGATCCAGGGAACTCCACGCGGACCGCCGAAAATGTATGTTTGCGTATTGTCTTTGTTTTTCGAAGGGAGCTGGCAGGGCACCGGCATCGCGCTGAAGGAGGTTCCGTGGCGCAGCGACAGGGTGGGGACCAGGGCGCCGACGCCGACGCCGCCGCCGTCACCGACAACAACGACGACGACGACGACGACGACGACGACGACGACGACGACGACGACGATCGGGGATTGAGTCCTTTAGGCTTTTGGGGCCCCTTGGGGCTTCTGAGACTCTGGGGGCCTCAGAGGACCAGCCCGAAACATGGAGGGGATTATCCTTTCAAGGCTGCCGCCACCGTCGCGAGCCATGCCTGCCACAGGGTAAAATAAAAGGGCCCCGAAGGACATCGGGAGACCAAATCTCCGAAAGGGCCCTGGGAGGCCATACTTGTGCGGCCCCGAGCGCTGGACCACTGCCCGGGCCCGGCTTTTATCGCACCGATCTCGTGTGCTGGCGGTCCTGGGGGCGTGGCGACGGCCCCAGGGCACCGAACACCAGGGGAGAGCCTCCGCCTTGACTTTGGCGCCTGCGCTGGAGGACTGGTGAGGAGGTGGGTCGAGCACCTGGGACGGATCTCAAACTTTTTGGGCGCCCCTGGCCCCCACGTGGAGCCTCCAGGAGGCCGCCCAGGAGCCTCTGAGAGAGCGCGCCGCTGCGCTCGCGCGGCGCGTGGTCCACAGTCGCCGACCCCGTTGGGGTCTCCTCCTCGGCGCGTGAAGCTGGCGCCCAGCCCCCAAAGCCCGCAGCCGCTCCCGGACGACCCACAATTGATGGGTACAATGCCCAACAACACATGTTGTCCCAAACCAACAGCGGCCGCTGTTGGGCAGGCGGCCTTCTGTCTCAAATGGACACAGGCCGCGGCGGCGCGGACAGCGAGTCCTGTTCAAAATGAACAGGAGCTGCTGTTGGGCATTGTACCCATTCTTTCCGTACCCATTTCGGGCGTCCAGATCCACGTCGCCCCACATTGGCATGGCCCCAGCACGGCCAAGGATGACCTCTAGACACCACAGGAGGCCCCCAGGACTCCCCCAACGCGGCCCAAGAGGACGCCCCAAAAAACAAAAAGTCGCCCGGTTCCCTTTCTAGAAAACGCACATGTGTTACAATTCACCTTGTCGGATTTCACGAAGGCCCCCGAGGCGCCCAAGACGGCCTATGAGGGCCCCATGAGAACACCAAGAGGGGCCCAAGGGGGGGAACTCGAACTGACACTTCGAGCGAGCCCGTCGATCTGGATCGGTTCGGATCGGGATCGAAAGACACAGTTTGCCTTTCTGCGGGCGCTTTGGCCTGAGAGCCTTACACGGTAGCGGGTACAAGGGCATGGGGCGGGATGGGGGGCCAAGAGAGACAAGGCAAGAAGAGAAGGAGAAGAGACAGCTAAATGGAGGCAGCTGGACACGGCCCGAGCCGCTTCCAAAATGGCCCCGGAACGGCCCCAGAGGCCCCCAAGAAGGCCCCAGAACGGCCGAAGAGGGACCCAAGATGGCCCGCAGAGGCCCCAAGAAGGCCCAAGAGGTCAAGAGGTCCACAAGACGGCCCAAAAGGATTCCACGAGAGCCACAAGGCGGCCCCGAGAGGCCCCCGAGACGGCCTCCGAAGGGGCCAGGCGGCGCAAAAGCACCCCAAGACGGCCCAAGAAGCCCCCAAAAGGCCCCAAGAGGCCCCAAAGGGGCCCCCAAGAGGCTTCCAGGGGCCCGAAAGAAGCCTCGAAGAAGCCCCCAAGAAGATCCCAAAAAGCCCTAAGAAACCACCAAAAGGCCCGCGGAATTCTCTACGAATGGCGCGCTGTTGCTGTGCTCGTCGGAGTTTGAACTTGGCGCTGCCTTGTGCTGACACTCGGTGAATACTCGTTGCCCTCGTGGTCGCCCTGGCGCCGAAACCGGAGGGAGGAGGGGCGCATGCGCTCCTCGGTGTCGCTTGCCAGCGCCCCGGGGCGGGCAGAAAACATCACGGCAGAACAGCGCGGCAGACGAGCAGGGCGAACCACCCAACGACCAGTCCTGACGTGCTCCGGAGGTGCACCCCGCGAAGCGATAGGAATCCACGTTCTGAAGGAACGTTTTCTTGGAGAAGAGGGAGGAAGAGGCGAAAGGGAGACCACGCACACGCCCGATCGATGTCCACCACGTGCCGGGGAGACGGCAAGCTATCCTGCCGCAGGACCGTCATCGTTCTGAAGGAACGTGCTGAGCGGCAGCGTTT